CAACCGTCCGCAACCGTCCGCAACCGTCCGCAACCGTCCGCAACCGTTCGCAACCGTTCGCAACCGTTCGCAACCGTTCGCAACCGTTCGCAGTAGGACGCTAAGGCGCTGCCATTGGGGGAAGCTTTTGCAGGTGACTTTTCATGGATGTGTCACGTGTCAGTTTGCGACGCTATTCCATTGTGATTTGCATGAAAATGACATGTCGCGCAAGAAGCGTGATGCATTTCGCTGCACAGGCGCAGTGGTTTGAGAGATCCGCAGTGTACTGCGCAGTTCCATTGGGATTAGCGTTTGGAGAGTCGTGTTTTTGGGGTGTTGGATGTGGCCGTGCCATTGGGATTTGCATTTCAGGGTGTGGCATCGAAGCTCTGTTTTCGTGACAAGTCTCAGCTGAAATGGCGATTTTGGTGGATGGGAGTGTGCTCAGAACGGGTCGAAATCATTCTAAACGTGTGGTGTGGTGCAAATTTTGTTGAAGCTCATGTGAGATGATATTCTCACTTTTCGTGGCAGGCACAGTACTTTGTGCTGATTTTGAGGCATGGAAGTGTGATTTTCGTGGCAGGCGCAGGGAATCGTGAGGTTGCGAGGTGTGACGGAGGTGACATTGCGTGGCAGGCGCAGTACTTTGTGCGCGTTAGACGTGTGGATGCGGAAAGATGCGTGGCAGGCGCAGGGAATCGTGAGGTTGTGAGTTGTGGTAGAGGTGACTGTCTTTGTCTCATTGGGATTGGCGTGTGAGCGGGTGTTGTTTGGAGGGGCTGGAATCGCGAAACTGCTTGGCAGGGCTGCGTGATGTGTGTGCTCCGATGGGTGTTTCCGCTTGACTTTTGGAGGAAGTCTCGTACGAAACGCTCGTTTTGGAGACTTTGACACTAAAGTTTTTGAGGAAGTCTCGTACGAAACGCTCGTTTTGGAGAGTTGACACGTGACTTTTGGAGGAAGTCTCGTACGAAACGCTCGTTTTGGAGACTTGACGTGTGACTTTTGGAGGAGGTCTCGTACGAAACGCTCCGTTTTGGAGACTTGACGCGTGACTTTAGGAGGAAGTCTCGTACGAAACGCTCGTCTTGCAGCCTCGAACAGTGACTTTTGGAGGAAGTCTCGTACGAAACGCTCGCGTGACTGCTTCTAGTGTGTGGGCAGACCGTGTCGCGACACGAGTGTCCCACAAGAGTGTCCCACAAGAGTGTTCCACAAGAGTGTCCCGCAACCGTGTCCCACAAGAGTGTCTCACAAGAGTGTCCCTTAAGAGTGTCCCACAAGAGTGTCCTATAAGAGTGCCCCACAAGAGTGTCCCACAGGAGTGTCCCACAAGAGTTTCCTACAAGAGTGTCACACAAGAGTGTCCCACAAGAGTGTCCCACAAGAGTGTCCTACAAGAGTGTCCTGTAAGAGTGACCCACAAGAGTGTCCTACAAGAGTGTGTCACAAGACTGTCCCACAAGAATGTCCGACAAGAGTGTCCCATAAGAGTGACCCACAAGAGTGCTTTTGAGAGTGTCCCACAAAGAGTGTCCTACAAGAGTGTCATGTAAGAGTGACCCACAAGAGTGTCCTACAAGAGTGTCTCGCAAGAGAGTGTCCCATAAGAGTGACACACAAGAGTGCCCCACAAGAGTGTCCCACAAGAGTGTCCCACCAGAGCGCCTCGTAAGAGTGGCCCACAAGAGTGTCCTACAAGAGTGTCTCACAAGAGTGTCCTACAAGGGTGTCCCGCAAGAGTGTCCTACAAGAGTGTCCCAAAGCAGTCCCCCCCCAAGAGTTTCCTACAAGAGTGTCCTACAAGAGTGTCCCACAAGAGTGTCCCA